ACCACTCTCCCTGGAAGAAACCCCCCAAAACCCATGGATGGGCGGCATCCGTGAAGACCTCATTGAGTCAGAGGAACGCACGAGGCCATCGTAAATAAAGTAATTCCGTTCCAGTGGGCGAGCAGGAGGGACCAGAACCGAAGGTCTGAACGGCAGCCTTCGTCTAAGAAAACGCAGTCATGGAGGTTGTCGACCGCTGATGCTGCGTCCAGGAGGCGGGAGATGAACGAGCGCCCCTGGGGGATGACGTGCATGGCGAAGTTGAGGTGTCCGAGAAGGGAGAGCAACTGTTGTTTTGTGATAACTTGTTGCTCGCAGTATGACTTGGTGATGTCCTGGATGCGCTGCGATTTGTCGGAGGGGAGAGACGCCTTCATGTCTATGGAGTCGAGGATGATGCCTAAGAACTCTAAGCGTGTGACGGGACCTAACGTTTTCTCTTTGGAGAGAGGGACACCTCACTCCTGAAGCAGTGTTTAAGCTTGGCCAGTGAGATCCCTGAGCTGTCCTGTGGCGGGTTTATGGGGAGGAAGTCGTCCGGTAGGTGAAGGACGGAGGGGATTCTGACGATGTTCAGCAGGATCCAATGGAGCGCTTCCGAGAAGGAATTGAAGATGCAGGGGCTGCTTCTGCACCCGAAGGTCGTGCGAACGCGAAGATAGAGTTTGGACTCCCACTTAATACCGAACAAGTTCCACTGAGACGGATGAATGGGGATGATTTGAAGGCATCGGTAATGTCCGCTTTGGAGAGCCGAGCTCCGTGCCCTGTGAACTTGATCATCTTTATTGCATTATCCACTGAGGCATGGTGAAGGGAGAACTGATCTGGAGGGATGATGCTATTGACGCTGCAGAATGGGCCGGAGCAGGGAGCGGACAGATCGAAAATCAGCCTTTTATTTACGTGTGGCTATTCCGATGGGATTTGAACGGAACACTGAGAAGGGGGAGGAGCTAAAAGGACCGATTATATATCCTTTGAGAAGTTCTTTGTCGATGAGCTGGGAAACTATGTTGGGTTCTTTAGCGGCTGTAAGTTTCTTGCTACGAAAGTCACTGTGGGAGATGGGAGGACTCCTACCCTGAAGCCTTGGGAGAGCCCTGACGGGAGATAGTCAACGAACACGGAATCTGTAGATAGCGCAGCTGCTAGCTGAGGGATGTTAATGGGAGTGGAGGGGTGATATTCCAGAATGTTTTTTTTTTTTATTTGTTTTTTTATGTTTCTGGCGCAGAGCCACTGTGACGGCCCGTCCACACGGTGGCGTGCGTTACAGATTCCGACGCTTCTGCCCATTCACTTTGAATGGGGTGACGTCACTTTTAGTAGAACTGTATTTTGGGAAGCGACGTGGAGCGTTTGCTGGCGTTGCTCGCTTCAAAAAGTTGAGCAATGTTCAACTTTTGGCGCCTCGGCAGAAGCGTCAGCCAATGAAGTCCCGTTTATGCAAATCTGCCGGTACAAGCGCTAGCCAATCAGACCGCGTGTATGTTGGGAGAGACTACGCAGGTAATTCCTCATATTCCAAAAATGTGAGGGAAAATTCATTATAGCGGTAGTGAATCACCCGGTGCTGTATGATCAGTCTCTGTTCATCTACCGGGATACAAACCAGAGGAGCGAGGCATGGAGGGAGGAGGCAGGGACAGTGGGTGAAACTGGTAGGTTTTCGCCTGTTGGGGATTTTTTTTCCTTTCCAGTTTACTTAGTTTTAACATTGCTATTGCTTTGTGTGTCGGGGGCAAGAGATTCATGTGATTGGTTGTTGCTGCTGTGCGGACCGTAGCGTAGGCAGAAATTTACTTTAGGGTGGGCCTGTAAAAATATAGGGTGGGCCAGATTTTCTTCTGCGCATCGGAAACTAACCACGATCCCGCCGGTACCGGTGGCAGATTACTTTTAGAATACTTCCTTTCCTCTTCTTTTTCTTCTTTCCTCCTCTTCTTTTTATCTTTTCCTCTTCTTTCTATCTTTTCCTTTCTTCTTTCTCTTTAGAATACTTTCTTTTCCATAACAGATGGGTATGTTTTGGTGAACGGGAGACACGTATTTTACTGTTTTAATGGCTTATGAAGAGCACGAACACGACATTTTAGTGTCATTCTTGACAGCTCTCTCATCTGCACCGTACATAAAAAGAAAAACTCACCCAGACTGCATTCTTTGTACTGTCTTAAAACCTTTCCTTGGAAAAGTGTATGCATTGTAAGGTGTCCTTGGGTGCTTTGAAAGGCGCCCCTAAATAGAATACATTATCGTTATTTATTATCTGAAACGATGTAATCACTTTTAAAACTTTTCCCAGTTACTTGTCCCATGCATTCGGCAGCAGCAGGCCATTCAGTTAGATTTGATCCCGTTATGAATGTCATAATTTCGACAATACATAAATGCTACATAAACGTTATCTTCCACGTTTTATCTAAACATCTCCGTTTCTACCTTCCAATATGTTTTGAAAGAGAACTCTCTCTCTCTCTCTCTCATCTGCGTGCGGGGCGGGGCCTCACGGACACGCTACATCTCTCGCTCGCAGATACGCTGCATCGCTGTGCACACGGTTCTGCCGGTAATGAATATTACATTGTGAGGAAACTTTCCACCAATAATTCCAATAAGTATTCACTTCAGGTTTACGAAAGTAACTGCACTCAGTTTACTCGTTTTTTCAAATGTAACGCCAGCTGAATGTACTGATTTTTTTTTTTTTTTTCTTTCTTTTTCTTCCGATTACGTAACACCGTTACATGTATTCCGTTACGACCCAACCCTGTGTAAGGGTCGAGTGCAAACGTTTTCGTTAAAAACTAGTACCTGAGTGCAACGGAAGTTGAAGCTCCTGTGGCGGAGTCTTCCAGAGCCTGGAGGCGAGCATCGATAGCTATCATGGAGCTAGCCAGGGATTGCAGGGAGCCGGCCGCGCTACTCTCCATAGGGGTGTGTGACGCTCCCGGACTGGCGAGCCTGAGAAGGGGTGGATTTTTTGGAGGGGGACGGGATCCTGGAGGGCTCGACTTCCTGCCCTTTTTTTACCTCCGCGGCTGCGGCCTCGTCCTGCTCTCTGGGAAGCTGGCTGGAGCTGCTGCCCCGGACTGGGGAGCTACGCTGGAGACCTGGTCCGAGAGCTATCGCCGCTGAGAGAGAGTGAGGCCTGGGGCTGTGGGAAAGCCCTGCTGCAGGAGCCCGGCGATGAGGAAGTCTTCCTCTGTTGATAAGCCGCTGTGGGGAGCCGAACCGGGATCGGAGACTTCCAGAGAAGGTTCGTGTTCCGAATTGTCCGAGTTGGACATCTTGAGCTAGTTGTTTCTTACGGTTTTTCTCACGAGAAGCAGTATTGTATTGCAACTACCATTGCGTGTGATCATCTGCAATGACAACTGACAGGGAGGAAGAGCAGGTATTTAAGGCATTTAGCATGTGCAGCGATTGGCTGCTGAGGCATGACGCCCTCATATTTAATGAGGGGGGAAGGGAGCCATAGAGTGACGTGTGAGTGACTCGAGTTAGGTCTTCCTTATTGAACTTGCGCTAAAGCTTTCATTAGTTGTGAAGTTTTAAATGTGGTGGGCAGTCAAAATTAAAAGCTTCCACTTCCATGCATCAGTGCAAAGCTAAGGAAGTGAACCGTAAGCAGTCAATGGTTTAGTTATTAGTTAGGAGTTACATTTACATGATATCAGACCCTGCTGCCAGACTTCAGAAGGACTATTTGTGTAGGTAAAGTATCAAATAAAGTAGTTTGACACCACTTTGTAGTCATATATCGAAAGAAAGCTTCAAATATAACTGCACAGTGACTGGATGTTACGGTTGTTGTTTGTCTGCTCATTAATCTGCCTGAGTGTTTTCAGCGGTGTGTGTGTGTGATTATGCAAATGAGCTGTGTGGTTGCCCCAACATCATTGGCTGTCATCTCCTGGTCCACTTCCGAGGACACTGATTGGAGCACGCCGGGCCCGACGTTCTCCAATCCCTGTGCAAGCCCAGCGCACACCTGCTGGAGAGGACTACAAAGCTGGGGACAATCATCACTCTGGAGGCTCTGTTGAGTGAACAGACGCCTCTCGCATTTTGCTCTTCATTCTGTGGTTAATCTTGTGTGTTTATCTCCGTGTGATATTGTGTGTTAGTAGAGTGTAGAGTAGGTTAGTTAGTGTTTAGAGTATCGTTGGGATTTGTGACTGTTGCCTTTAGTTAGCTGTGTGTTTGGTGTAGACTCCCTTTGTTAGTTGTACCACTCTTGAAGTGAGGTTTTGTTTGGTTCTTTAGTTAGGGTACTAGTATTTATTTTCCCCACATATGCCTTTAGACTCCTTTTTTAGAGTCTTCCTTTTGTTCGGTTATTTGTCAACGATGCCCTTTTGGCCCTTTTGTTTGTTTCAGACTGCCTGCCTGCCATTTTGTTACACCTTGCTTTATAATAAAACCACTTATAATTAATACCAATACCACTCTGGTCGTGTCGCTTCCCTTTGGTTCCCCTAGCCCAATAGGGAACGTAACACTGGAGAAAAAATTAAATAGAATATTCTCAGTAAAACATACTTACATAAATTGGACAAATTAATGTTTGCTGTAGTGCGTTCAGTAGATTCTCTTCTTCTATCTCTTTACATAGAGAATACTGTATGTTTACCCATGGACAATGTAGGAACACAGTAACATATATTTACATTTTGAGATCATACAAGATACTAAAGTTTAAGTACTAGCAGAAAACATATAATATATTAAGTCCATTAAGGGTTTTGGTTAAACATTTTTATCTTAATGACAATAACAGGTTTGAAAAATACAAAATGTTCTGCATTGTTTTCTTCCTGGACAGGCTTTACTGCTTTGATTGCATTGAAAGCATGAAATAAAGATAATACTTGTGGGTTGTTTTTCGTGAGAACTTTACCATTAGTGAGAACATCCGTCATGTTTTTAGTTATTTTGGTTAATCTGCTTCAGAAAATACCGAATATTTGTATTATTAAAGATGAGATGGTAAATTAATCCAAGTTATTTTTATTAATGCAAAACAAAAAATGTGCACCAAAAATCTGAAAGAAAACAAATACAGTGTACAAAAGGTGTGTGCTTCAGTTCCTTTGAACCTGAACATCTTGTTTGACCTATTGGTGGCGCTGTGACTGCAGATGTTTTGGCTTTGGCAAGAGACTACTTCTGCAGGTAAATTAAAGGCATTAGATCATGTGTTGGCACCCTGTGGTAGCATCTAGTAAGAATCATTCACTGAACAGTACATGCAGGTATAATTGCATTTGGGTTTTATTAATAATATATATGTGTGTCCACTGTGTGCATCTACAGTGCTAAAGCATGTGTCCATACTGCATATATTAGTATCTGGCTCTGATATCACCAAATGTACAACAAGGTTAGAGCCACATGATCTGAATCAGACATGTAACAGAAAAGGTTATAGTACAATGTTTTACACTAAATATAAGTACACAGAAAGTAAGTATCCAGTTGAATTGCAAAGCCTTCAGCATGTTCCTAGAAAGGCCGTTATTAAAAAAGGCTCTGCGCTATTTACACAAAAGCAGCAAATACACTCAATTGCTGAAACAAGGATGTTGCTTTTCATGTGTGTATCCGCTCCATTGGTTCTGTCCATGAGGATGTCTTTATTGATCTGGAAGAAAACCAAAATTAGTTATTATCATTGGGTACTTTCTGCTTGTGATACTGTTTTTGAATACAACAATGTATGTTAATGCCAATTTTTTTGTATGTTAAAATATTTAAATTTGTCATTTAATAATTATGATGTTTTAAGTAATGTTTCATTAAACCAAAACATGTCTGGAAAACAACATGCTGTTTATAAAAAGGCATTAAAATGCACAAAAAGTGTAAAAGCTTTATTTGGTGGATTTGCTCATAATAAAAGCTTTTAGTATATTAATATGTATATGTATTAAAGTGTTTTGAACTTGACTTTACCTGTAGCCACGTTTGAGTAAAGGCTCTCTTCTGGTTCATTACTGGCACCTGTTAGAAGGATTAAAATAATGTATCAAAGGACAATTCCTGTACTTAGTATTTGTATTTATATTTGTATTTAGACACTGCTGGCCTACAAAAGCACCTCAACCATTGCATGTAGTATTTGTATTTCTGCATGTTAAACACAAATTAAATACTGTACCATTTCCTGCTTCTACCGGCCCTCCGATTGTTTCATAGAGACAACGATCACCTACAGAGAAGTGAAAATCAACCATGGGTATACCAATCATTTTAATCACAATTAAGGCTAAGAGTTCAAAATAAATCATTTTATTAAACCGGACAAGGGCTGACCATGGAGGAGAGTAGAATATTCTGGCATGTTTTGAATTTCATCCTGGTTGATCATGTGGTCTGGAGCAGGGCCCTGATTGGTGCTCTGAGATCTTGTGGGCCATACCCATGAAGATAATGAAGTGGATTGACTTTAACCTATGACTGCTGTAATGTTCAAAATGAGATACAAGAGGGTTGTACCGACCTGATGAAGACTGAATCTGTAGAATACAAGAAACACTTAGTTACATTGTTTTTGAATTGCAAATATTTCCGGTACATGTAATCTGTGATTTTAAGTAATTATAGTTCAATTAATTTGATATCAGATGAAAAGGTTCTGACCTTTTGATTTTCTGTAGCGATACAGCAGCGGGAGAATTATCAGTAAAACTCCACAAAGCAGCCCAACAGTCAACAGGATGGGAAATTGAGAGGCTTTTCCAGGCCGAGACGCTGCTAATATAAATAACCTTAATTATTACACTATAAACCATCTGTCCAACCATCTGCTGAATCTCTCCGTTTACATTTATAAAAGCCTTCGTCTGACTTTGACACTGCAGAGATGGTCAGCTCCCTTCTGGTATCGTTCTGGATGAGTTTGTCATTTTTATAAAAATTCACATCATAAAGAGCCGTTTGTGTCTTTAACTTGCAGCTAAGAGTGACAGCAAGTCCCTCAGCCACAGGACGGACAGGACTCAACAGGATAATATCATATTCTGAAATAAAAGAATAAGAAGGCTTTGTCAGAGCAATTAGCTTTTGCAGATTTAATACGTTTAGGCACAACTGGTCTAGTCTGGCAGAAGCTAAAAACAGGTAGATGTAAGAAACAATAAAACACATAGAATATTAACTGTGATCTTTGAGAGGAGTGACCCTGGAATTGACTTTGCAAATTAGCCTTTTTTATAAAGTTTTAACTTCACCTTCACATTTCAAAACAACATAATACTTCAGAAATAAATATTTTAAATAATGAAAACTCACTCATTGTGATGTTGACTGCATTACTGAACTTTCCTGTTTCAGACTCACACCAGAACACTCCACTACCCCGTCTCCTGGTTATTGTGCATGTGGATCCAGTCATTGTCCCCCAGGAAGAACAGGGATAAAGGTAGTCATATTTCGAAAAAAATCTCATCACTCTCCACTCACTGGAGTTTCCCTCACAGCTCAGTGACACAGGCGTTTCGGTGAAGTGCTGCACACTGTCAGGACTCACTGTGAGAGACCTGCTAAATTCAAATCTGAAACACATAAAGGTGAAAAACAAAGCATTTATGTATATTGAAAGCTTAAAGGTGGGGTAGGTAAGTTTGAGAAACCGGCTCGAGATACACTTTTTGTTATATTCCATGGAATGCTCTTAACATCCCGATAGCAATGAATATCTTAAGTGCTTTGACAAAAAATCCATACAAAAAAGTCATCTGTTGACGCCGTGGCGCTGTAAAAAGCACGACCAATCATCTGAGCCGGCCCGGCTAAAGTAACTGGATGGCCTACCTGCCTGTCAGCCTTCCATCTGTGCACAAACTTATCTCGTGCCCTCATTGGTCATGTGCACGTTCGTGTGTGTTGGAGGAGGGGCTCTGTAAGGAAGTGGCAGATTTTCTCCGGTTGTGTATTTTCAAATTCTAGCGAACTCGAGTTGGTTTCTCCAAAATTACCTACCCCACCTTTAAAGCCAACTTGAACAATAAAAAAAAGCGAGTATCATATTAAATTATGTAATTAATATGAAGAGAATTGTTGAATGTAAATAATTTGGAGTTGTTTGTACCATTGGGGAGCTTTTATGTAAAACATAACCAAAAGGCATATCCAAAATATTCTAAAACTCAAAAACTATTTAAAGTCCTCCATTTAAAAGTGTGGGTGGCATAGAACAAGCAAACATAGAAAGAAGGAAGAAGAAAGAAAATGGATTGTTTAATTGATTTCCAGATAGGAGTATTGCTTGCATGTATTTAAAATAATAATGTCTTTAGACTCAACAAACTAATTAAAAGGAATAAAATAACCAAAAAATATATATAATCAAACAATTCTAACTTAAGACATATTCCCAACTGAAGAGAATAAAGAGAAAAAAGCATTCAACAGTTAACCGTTAAACCCCATCCCTGTTGTTCAGATCTCAGGCTCGAAAATGACATTCCCAGAACAAATGACCATATCTTCCCTTCTAAAAGGGGAAAATTAATAATCTTTTTTCTCAAAGTAATGGTAAACCTTTGAGTTGGATGTAGAAAAGTCAGAATCAATATAGATGTTTTTTATTTTAAAGAAAATTCAGATTGAACAGTAAAAAACTGTAAATTATAGTGTCTGTCCAAAAATTATTTTTTAATTATAGTGAAAACTAACCTTGAATGATGGGAATGTAGACTAAAAGCTTTAGGAATCCAAAGTGCAACATATAAGTACCCTGTATCAAGATTGATGCAAAACAAGTGACATTTGACCTTTTTAGAGAGGTTTAGCAAAAGAAACCCACTTCTGAGGTCATTTGGGCAGATTTTCCATATCTCTGGCCCCCCTTGGTCGATTTTGATGATTGACATCTCTTTTTAACCGCTAGAGCCAATGGAATCGAGGGAAAGTTCCACACACACACACACACACACACACACACACACACACACACACACACACACACACACACACACACACACACACACACACACAGCTTACCAAATAAGGAGTGAGAGTGACGCGTAGCCAAAACCGGAGTTGCGACACACTCTGGTGGCTACCATTAGCAGCTAATTTTTATTCTCCGATTTTTTGCATAAAAATGGAATTATTGATTATCAATAATTTGTTCAAAGTGACAGACACATTGGATTAACCTATGGATTAACCTTCAAACGCATTTGTTCTCGTTTTAATGCCATTGAACACGACTTTTGATCAGAATAACAGCAAAGGTGAGCATATCTCCGTGTTTTGCTACCTAAAGCTACGTCGTGTGTTGTCTGTATTTGCTTCCCCTGTCACAAGTTATAATCGCTCAGTGATGATCCTTATATTTCTATAATCTGTGGACTCTCAGGATGTTATCTAAGCTTGTTTGTGCAGATCCAATAAGTATATTGATCAGTATAGCTAGAGTTCTGTGCTAACGGCCTTAAGATTTTTTCGCTCGTGGCTAATTCTGAGGCTCAGCGTTAGCTTTGTGGTTTGTTTTGCAAAAATAAATAAAAATGATCAGTTAGCTGAGTTTCTTCCCGTTACATGGATATGAAACATTCATAGTTTATTAAATATTAAGAAGCCCTCAGACCATGGCCGTATCTACCATTGAGGTCACCGAGGTCCGGACCTCGGTAATATTTTCCGAGCTGTGTCTATAACAAAACTTGTGAAATAATTGCACTAAACGGGGTTCTTTGTAGTACTTCCATTTACTGACGATGGGGGCGCTGCATAACTACGTAGCCTCTGTTAAAGCAAACAGAAGAAGAAGACATGTATCAACAAACCAGAGCCATATAATAGAAGAGTTATGACAACGGAAGTCCAAGTACGGTTATCATCACGTGGTTCATGTAGACGAGGATTGTTCCCCGGAAGTTCATGGCGGGCAATGTGAATGCATTGATAACAGGAGATAGAACTACGATTTTTGGTAATTATTAGTGAATAAAGGTTTTGATTTTCAATATTTATACAACAAATCGATATGTGTATGTATTTACATCAATATGTTTTAAAAAATAAAATAGAATTTGGTAATATTAAGTGATAATATTAGGATTAGTGTGAACAACTAGTTTACATGTTAGGCTAACAGTGCCTTGGTTAAAGAGCCTGTTGCTGTTTATTTATAGCTTTGAATTCTTTAAAACCAATATTATCTTCTTAAACCTGTATGGTAGTCAGGAGCATCATTTTCTAATGTTTATTGATATATTTAGAGGGAGGGGATCTAAAGTAATGCTTTAAAATTCAGATTAGATTAATGTCTACCATTTTCTTAAATTCATGGTAGTTTCAGTAACCATGGTAATTGAGGACACAAGTTATCTAAATGACTAATGTCATCTTTATGGCTTTCAGAAAGGACAGGAGACCGACAGGTGACTATCAAAGGACTAGCAGCAGCAGCATGATGATGATGATGATGATGATGATGATGATGATGTTAAATGTGTTGTTTTAGGAACATCCATTGCAAATACATGGAATTCAATAAACATTGAATAGCATATCATGAAGTTTGTCTGTGCCTTTTCCTCCGTGTTGTCCTGGTTTGCTGTGCTGCCTCCTAGTCGCCACCATGGTTTGCTGTGCTGCCTGGGGATGCTCAAATCGCTCCGAGAAAGGAGTACGAATGTACGGCTTCCCCACTGACACAGAGCGGAGGAAAAAATGGCTGGCTCAAGTCAGCAGGAGCAATTTCACGACCAACAGCAACAAAATATGTGATGTAATTATATACAAACACTGCATTTGCACTTTTTCACAAAACGAAACCACACCATTGGGAAAGCTTAATGTTTTGTTTAATACAAAAAAACAGGGAAAGGCTTGAAAGTCCACTGAGACAAATGTAACATTTGTGATATTGGGCTATATAAATAAACATTGATTGATTGATTGAAAAACACTGAGAGTTGAAACTCAGGGTGCAGGGTGAGGGTCTCAGTGCAGGTATTCAGGCTCCATTGAATCCCCCTCTGGTTCTTGTGCTGAAAGAGGGAGTAACAGACAGGAGAAAGGGTTATACACACCTATATAGCACACACTCCCTTGGGGAGATAAGGTGTGGTCTTTGTTCCCAACTGAAGTTATGGAACTTTATTATTTGTGAGTTTAACAAAGTATGACAAATGGCATCAGTAACAGATGTGATATGAATTTCTATAAAGTTGTCTCACATTCTTGGTCATATTTTATATACAGTATGTAATGAGTATAACATGTCCAGTAAGTATAAAGTGTTTCCTAATACTGTGTATTCAACCACTATGGAATATGTATGTGGGCAGACAAGATTCAGACACAGTTGTTCTGTGTGTGAAGTAACCTCAAGTCACTCCGCAGGCACATTTTGATGCAGACCAGTTTGTCAAGACAAAAAAGGGCAAGACTAGGCTGAGAGCAGAGGCTATACCCACCATCTTCGTGCATCGCCCTGTGGTCAAAAGAGAAGGGCCCCTGCACCACGATTCACCCCGGGACCTGTATCTACAAAGCCCATAGCTCATGATCACAGCGATAGTGTGAAAGGTGACACAGGTATAATAAGTATGAACTCTTAGTAACAAAAGTAATATTTCTTATTTTTAAGTGGTATAATATTTAAAATGTTCGAAAATGTACAGTTCCATGTCTTCTACATACATTAGTCTCAAAGATTGAGGGAAAAAGGGATGAGGAGACTGAGAGAAAG